TTGATATGGTGAGTGATGTTTGAAAATAAAAAATCTGGGGTGCAAAAATAAATTCAAAGAAAAAGAAAAGGGTGCAAATTTATTATTTTTAATATCAAAAGTAAAAGAAGTTAAAATTTGAGGGGGGCAATTGCCCCCCATTACAAAGTGTAGATTCGCACTGAATGGGTCCAGTCGATTAATTCAATGTAAAAATCACATATTCATAGAGATGTATTAAAGGTGTATGGTTAGTTGTTTATGGAATAATTTGTTCAAAAATGAGTTATTTGGTTAACCATAGTTAATTTTGAAAAAGGTGTATGGTTAGTTGCTAGTGGAATTTTAAGAATGTATTAAAATAATATTTAAAATTAAAAAATTAAAATTGATTTGATGTAAAAGTAAGAGATAATGATTGAAAATGATAGGTAGGTAAAATTATGTGAGTGGATGAATAGTGAATTAAAGTTGATGTGATGTATAAGAATGATTGGTTTGTATTATTTAATTATATGAATAATATTAAAGATAATAGTGTTGAGTTAAAGTTCAGTTAAATTTTGAGTTGAAATAAAAGTGAATAAAATAATTTGTAAACAATCAAGCCCTAAATTCTTGTGTGTAAAAGTTGGAAGATGGATGTGTCGTACTTCATTAATAAAAAAAATCATATTATTAGGATTAAATCATTATTATATAAGAATTATAAGAATTAAGGGGGTGATTTTTTATGAATTCATCTAGAAATTAATTGGTTTTTTTAACTATAGTTAATTTTGAAAAAAGTTAGTATGGTTAGTTGTTAGTGGATATATTAAAATAATATTTAAGATAAAATAATTAATGTTGATATGATGTAAAAGAAAGAGAAAAATGATTGGAAGTGATGATTAGTTAAAATTATGTGAGTGGATGAATAGTGAATTAAAGTTGATGTGATTTGTAAGAATGATTAGTTGAATGATTGGTTGATATTATTTATTATATAGATAATATTGGAGATAGTGGGATTGAGTTAAAGTTGAGTTAAATTTGAGTTTTGAGTGGATTGTTTTGAAGTGAATTGATAAACAATCACACCCTAAATGTCATTATTATATTTAGATTAGATACTTTCAAGTTACATCAACATTTTCCTGAGATCCCGAATGTGCCTCCGAAACCCTAGTTTCTTCCTCTTCCTCGTGCAACTAAATTCGTGAGAGAGCCTTCCACAGCCGGGAGCCAGGAGTCTCGTCGGTGGTAGGCTCTGGCTCGAGCGGCCTATCCCTGGAATTGGCGTCGATCTTGGGTGGATCCTCGGTCTTCTCGTGTCGCGGAGATGGAGCGGCTGTGAAATGTGGCCGCGGTGGTCTTCTCGGTCTTCTGGTGTCAGGTGGTCGGGGTGGCAGATTCGTCGGGTTTTGTTCCCTGAGCCCTCTTTTTCCTTGGTGCTCAGGATTGATGGTTGGCCAGCGCCTCCGATTTCTGCCAGTAGTTTTGACTGGGATTGGAGTGAGGGGGGGAGGGGCTAGCCGATTTTTCCTCTGGCTGCAGGCGGTGGCAGATAGCCTGATTGCGGGTCGTGTT